GCTGCGTGATTCTTGTTTCAGGCAATAGGGCTTTAGGTCCGTTACCGGAATGACTATTGTAACAATTCAGTGAATTAAATTCTCTTCTTTTGTATTAATTAATAAATGAATTGGTTGAAATTAGCAGAAACAGTTAAATTTTTGTTTAGTATTACTTAAACACAAGAAAATTTTCTCTAAGCTGTTTCATTTACACGCAGGTACTTCGTAGATTATCAGAAGAATAATTGAAAAGGTTCGACAAGTATTTCTCAACGAAACTCATTGACAATACAATAAAGTGAATTAGAACACAAAAGTTACACATTAACACAAAATTACGCATTCTTGGCAAGTAACACAAACGTTCAGGTTAATTATGGTCCCTGAAATTATATACTTATATAATGTGTGTTCCCAACAACCACAAAATCTGAAAAAGTGTTATTATTTAATTTAGAATGTTTAATGAATTCATTTATACCAAGTTTGCTAGAAATACAATACCAAAATCACGTAAAATGATATTTGAAAACATACTTCATGCCCTAATTATAAATGGTTTGCAAACGTTAAGCAAATGTTTGTGGTTCAAATGATTCCGGGAACAACAATATGTCATTTACATAAATAAGTACACAGTATTTCGATTATACCAACATTTACGTCAATATTGATGAAACATTGTGTATTTATTTATAAATTATAAATTATTTAAAAATATGATTCAGAACAGGATATTTTTATAAAATAATACTTGATCTCTGGATGAACGTCCATTTTAGGAACACATCAGCGAGCAGTTATTGAAGCTAATCTGATGCTGCAAACTTTAGAAAATAGCCAGTAGCTAAGCCTCAGGTTTCAAGGAACTCGCATTGTCGATTTCTAAATTAACAAAGAGATATACTTAGATTATTACGTTAGTGTTTTGTACTTTGATATTATGATAGTCAGTGAGCATAATATGAGCGTGTCTAGGCTGTCCTATTCTATCAATCACATAGCAGCAATAGATGCTGCTACTATGGGACTGCTGGTCGCATCACTAATAACCACTAGTAGGAAATATCGATATTCGATTTCTCCTGCCTATTTCTGCCGTGAAATAGTAATGCGTTTCTATTTGAAGGGTTGGGCAGCCGTTGTAACTATACTGAGACCTTAGAACTTATATCTCAAGGTGGGTGGCGCATTTACGCTGCAGATGTCCATGGGTTACAGTAACCACTCAACAACCAGGAGGACTAGCTCGTCCATCGATCTAAGCAATAAATAAAATATTCGAATCTCTTAAACATCAATCGCTCTAAAGTATCTCAGACTGAGCCCCGTGAGCTCGCCTACTCATTCGGCAAAGCTAGTACAACCCCTTGAGGCTATTACCAATAGGTAGGCGAAATTTGCCAGAAACCTTAAAATTTACAAAATCATCTGAGCGAAAATAAACTTTATAATCACTCGATGAAAAACCATTATATTCAGACTTGTTTTGTATTTATTAGCCCACGTCTAGCTTACTAGCAACTTTATTTATTATAACAATATTATAATTTACATAATGATGTTTGCTCCGTCATGTTTTCGTTGAATAATAAAAGAGCTTCCAATTATCTGAAAACCAAACATAAATATTTATCCTATTTTACGTAACAAGTCAATTTGGTTCATGAAAAGAATATCTATAAACCTATAATACCTTTTTTATTTATTTTATTGATGCTTCGAAATCTATTCATATGAAAAACGTTAATAAATATTTGAAGCCCGACTTGTCTTAAGCGGTTATCGAAGCACATAATGCCGAAAAGTGAATTGTAGCACCCATCTTGGAATGTCGCAGGCTTAATTCTATAAATTTAATTAAGGAACCAAACCAAAGCACTAATCACTACCCGCAATAACAAGCAATATGGTTGTGGCTAACCCGTCTGGAGATACAATATTTAATAATTCATAGCAGTGTATTCCCGTGTTTTGAAGCTTATATTACCTAGTCAGGTCATAAGTATTGTCACACAGTAAAAACTTTTCTTTTAGAATGCTGGCCACAAAAAAGTTTATTGAATTCGAATTTCGAATTGTTCATGAAAATAAAAATGTATACTTTTAGAATTTTACTCATTTTTAAATATGGAGTGGACGCTTAAAGAAGACCGTGTTGCAGTTATTGCGTTGCATCGTTGCGGTTACGCGCGAATTAAAATTTTTAACATACTGAAAAATTTGAATATAACCAAAAGATTCGTTTATCGTACCATCAAACGATACAATGAAGACTCTAGTGTAGATGACAGGTCAAGAAGTGGTCGCCCTCGGTCTGTTAGGACTCCAGCAGTGATAAAAGCTGTGAAGTTGCGAATTCAAAGAAATTCCAAACGTAAGCAGAAACTGTTGGCCTTTCAGATGGGGTTAAGCAGAACCACGGTGAAAAGGTGTTAAATGAAGACTTAGGGCTTCGGGCATATCGAAGAAAAACAGGACATCGTTTGAATGCTCGTCTAATGGACCTGAGACTGAAGAGATGCCGCGCTTTGTTGAAGCGGTACGCGGGAAAAAAATATCGGGAAATTCTTTTTTCGGATGAAAAAATGTTTTGTTAAGTTCATTTTGGTATATGAATGGTTACATAATGAATAAACTTGTTTCAATTATTTTACATTAAACATGTGACAGAATTTATGACCTGACTAGGTATATTCTGTCAAAACTACGCGCTTTCATCCTAACTAAATATCGCTGTGTTTTCAAATACTACGGAACTAGATTTAGGATATCCTGAACGATATAACCCAAAAACGTGTACAAAAGCGTTCGTCGATGTTATTAAGTTTTACGACGGAACCCCAAAAGATGAATATGACGGAGGACTTTCTTTTGTTTGTCCGGACATTATTTCATACTATTCACTATTCCTGTCGTCATATTTCAGACTTAATCTTGGATTTAGAAGTATACGAAAGGACTTATGATTACCGAACAGAGTGAAGACAAATAATTTTTTTATTGCTTAGACGGGTGGACGAGCTCACGGCCTATCAGGTGTTAAGTGGTTACCGGGGCTCGTAAACATTTATAATGTAAATGCCGGCATACACTTTGAAGTCGTCGTGGCCTAAACGGTAAGACGTCCGGTGCATTCGTGTTGAGTGATGCACTGCTATTCGAATCTCAGGCGGGTACCAATTTTCCTAATGAAATACGTACTCAACAAATGTTCACGATTGACTTCTACGGTGAAGGAATAACATCTAACTACCTAATATGTAACTACCTATATATATTTGCCTGTTTATTACTGTTTATTTACTATACCTTGTTGCTTTTCTCATCCACATGCGTTTAAATGCATTAATTAAGTATTCTAACATGGCTTTGTAAGTCTTTGTAGGCCACCATATTGAAATAAAAATAATAATCAATAACAGGAAACTATCTTAATGTAAAATTATTGTATACTTATTGATTTTAATTAAAAATGTCTAATGTGCGTAAATATTTATGGTAAATAGACATCACTATACCACCATCTTGGGGTCATAAACTATCAAAACGATATAATCATAAAACGGCTGCCCTGTCCTTCCAATGGGAATGCCGAAGATAGGATAAGATGCGCAACACCTTGAGGACGAGAATCATGCATAGAGGTGGTCATGACCCTCGAACAAGAAAAGCACGACTGGACTGGAGAAAACGAAACAGACTGGGTATACGACATGCTTTATTAGATGTAGTTATGCAATTATATTTTCTTACGTGAAGATTCATACAATGTGAATCCCGCATAGTCTTATCATTCGACAGAGATCTTTTGGGTATCTTTGCCCTCCTGCCATGGATACTACTTCCAATGGACTAGTAAAAGTAATAGCGAGAGGCCGGAGTTACACACAAATGGGATAGAATGCTAATATACTGGTGATAGGACCTCTTATGAGTCCGCGCGGGTAGGTATCACTTAACCAACCACGTAACCAATTAACACCAGATGGGCTGTGAGATCGTCCACCCACCTAAGCAAAAATAATAATAATAATGTAATACCTATAGTTTATATGCATTTGGTATTGTGCAATCATTCACAAAGGTTTATCAATTTGGTCAAGCTATCCAAGAGATTTCACACACATAGCATTTTAAACAAACGTACAAACATTTTCATCCGATGAAAATTTTTAAACAGGATGCTTCAACAATGCTGTTGTTTCGAATTTGTAACGCATTTCACTTTGCACTGAGTGGATGCAGCTAGTGCTTTGTAATTAGTTAGAAAAAAGTTAGTGAAAGAAGATAATGAAGATTATAATATGTGCTTACCTGTTTCTGTATCTAACACGAGGTCTGTAAAGCTTAATGCAGGTTTATATATCTGATTATAATATATATTTTTCCATTTATGTAAATTGACAAAAAAAATATCAATTACTGACTAAGTAGTCTCTCTCTTTCTAGTTTTTATTCTATGTACTAGTCGAAGTCAATCCAAACAATGATATTTAAAAAAATATAATACAGATGTTTCTATAATAGAATAATAGACTTTTCAAGTAAATATAGAATTGACGGCATTATGATCTACATCGTAACTTCACTCTTGTTGAATTGTTGCTATTCTACCCCTGAAACCGTCTTAAACTAATTTAAGGGCCAATTTTTCTGAGGAAATTAATTTTTTTTCTCAATCAAAATGATATTTCTAAGGCGCATACCATAAATTGAAATATTATTTGGAAATAATATATATTAATAAATATCTGATTACAGGTACCAAAAACCAGTTATTAAATTGGAAATCTACCACCAGCTGCGAAGGATCAAACAAAGCCGCTTTAGTAGAGCAGTTCTTTAACATAATCTTCACTGAATTCCACAATACTCAGCCGATCTGCGTGTGTGTGCAAATGTGTGCTGACCAACCAACTTACTGCTATCCGAATGGCTGCTTCAAAAGAGACGTCAGTAACAGAGATCGTATTGTGTCAAATATTGGCAGTGATGGTGATAGAACACGTGCTAATATGTTTGTTGTTGAACAAAAGAGCAACGCAGTAACTGAGTTATTTGTAAGAGATCATGTTCCTGAAAATATTATTGGTGAGCTTTTAAGTGATACCATTTAGTTGAAAATAACAATATCTCAATAGAAATACACGAAACTTGGTATTTTAGTCATTGTCGATCCATCCGAAATCCATGGGTAAAGCTAACAGCTTAGTAATTGTAAATTTGGTAAGAAATACGTATTTTAGACGCCTGTTTTTTAGTTTCACACTCACACTTTAAGCATTTAAATTTGTGCGTCGACACCAAAAAGTTGTGGTTCACGCAATTCGTGCTAATTTTGATAAAATTTACAGTAAATAGTTTTTTATCAAAGCCAAAGTAGAAATGTTTATTTTTTCGCATTATGACTTTCCAAAAAATAACTTTCAGCTATCCCAGAAACGGATTTCATGAAAGAACTCCGCCCTGATCCTTTCAAAGACAAGTATAAGGCGTTATTAAAATCTAGAAAAACGCCCAGAGTCGAATTGAGATACAACGTACGAGATCAAGTGAAAAACATGAAATCAGACGCCTTGAGACACGAAAACATTGACCTTTTAAAAACGCGATGGCCACTGAAGAAATATAATAAGGTCAATGGACAATTTGTATTTCAGAATAATAACGATAACGCACCATTAAAAAGTAATAAGTTTTTTATGACTACAAATCAAGAAAATGAAGTAAATCGTAATGGTCAGTCTAAATACTTCAAAAGAGATTTAGGTAACATTAGTAAAGTAGATTTAAAGACCGTGTACAATGTAGGAACCATAGACGCAGCTATACAAAATACAACTTTATCTATAGAAACATTAATTGAAAATTTGCTTGAAAAATCATTCGATGGCAACAACACTGATGTTGAAATTAATATAGAAATCAACAATAGCAATATCTTAAACCACAATAAGCTGAATCATTCATACTATCCCAGTATCGTTAACAAAACTACCGAAATGAACAGAACCAATATTTATAACCAGAACAGTGATGACAAACGAAGTGTAATGAACAAAGTTAATAATTATAATGAATTGATCAACATTTTGTCGAAAAAAATCGAAGAACAAAATAACACGAGCATGGAAATGGCAAACGTATTATTTGGTGGTATTATATCGCTTGAAGATAAAAGTAATAACTTAAATCACACAGAAAACGTAAGCAACGATAAAGCCCAACCAACTTGTCAATTTTCTGATACTACGGCACGAAATGATAACGTAGATCTTCAGAGAAATTATACTGTAACATCAAATGATAATGATACCGACTTTCCAACCACAGAGAGCGTAAAAGTTACAGAAAATGAATTTGAAGAATACAATAATACTTCAGAAATCAGTTGAGTTCGACATCGAAATTGAGATAAGTGATGCAGAAATTTTCTTATAAAAACTACTGTAAAACAGGATACTTTTAAAAACTAATATAAAAATTATACTATAACAACGCATTGTTTACATTTATCACTTAAAACCAAGTCCGTTTTTATAACAATATCTATATATTAATACGTGAAGCAAAAACTTTGTATCCCTTTTTACGAAAATTGCGCGGACGGAGGAGTATGCAATTTTTCACATTTATAGAGAATATAGAGAAGAAGTGCACAATGCTAATATTTTTTTTAAATAATGCATAAAAGATACATTAAATCAATAAAGAAAACATTACACAACTACATACCATGTATTTGACGTACACACGCATGCATACTATTTGCTGTCAAACTTTTGTTCTTGACGTTTGTTGTCAAATTGAGATTAAATATTGATTTGTCTTTGTTAATATTTTTTATAGTGTAGTTTTGGCGAAATTTGTGATTACAGAAATATAAAATAGAATAATAATAGTGTACAAACTTACAATTCCAATTAATTATAGTCGAATTTCGACTACTGCGGGACCTCTAGTAACTATAATAATATTAGTTAAGCGGCTCACCGGCAAAAAAACCTATTATAATTTATTTAATGGTACTCAGTATTGCTGTGCTATAACAAAAAGGGTTCTGCATAATGACAACTAGCAGCTGTGTCTATCTCGCGAATGTCTTCAAGCACCTAAATAATGTGGATTCTCAAACTTTGGTATGACAGTAAAACCTAATTTAGAAACATTCTTGAATGCTAGTAAAGTGGCATATTTTTTTATCGTGGCTGCAAACGGGTTAGCAATCTCACTGTCGATCTGGTGAAAAATATTTTATTTTATACTGAATCTCATAGACTTCAAGGCGGGACCACAACCACTCTATACCACTTTGGGACATGAAGTTAACATGTTAATTCTGTAATTAGAACCCAAATTGGCACTACACGTGCAAGCGCACAATATGCTCTATCATATGTAGGTAATAATAAGTTGCTCTGTGGAATTACTTAGCTAACTGACTTAAATTATGACGTGGTCTTTACCAGGGCGTATATGTTGAATTGTATTAGAAATTTGCATCATTACCAGGGACCGAGCAGGTTGAGAGCGTATGCAGTTTGATCATCGCTTGGCACATATTTTCCATCATAAAACAATAGTCCATTCCACATTTAATCATTTTTGTAATGATTGCAAGAGGTGGACTTTCAAAGTACCTCAATTTACTTCAAAGTCAATGATTTTTTTTTTATTGCTTAGATGGGTGGACGAGCTCACAGCCCACCTGGTGTTAAATTGTTACTGGAGCCCATAAACATCTACAACGTAAATGCTGCCACCCACCTTGAGACATAAGTTCTAAGGTCTCAGTATAGTTACAACGAAAAATAACAGAATAGAAAAATAACAGATACCACAAAAGTTTGTGCTTGAAAATCTTTTACGACCAATTGCTGACGAGAGCTCTACCGACGGAAATTGAACAGATTAATGAATGGAGAAGAAATATATTAGCAGGATGCTCAAATTTGTCCTCAATAATGAGACAACGAAGGACCAAAGGCTTATTTGTATTCTCAAAACCATACAAGAAACAATCCGATTTAATGCTAATTCTTTCCCACAAATTAATTAAATGGTAAAAGATTGACATCCGCCGCCCGACAACCCAGTTAAACCTTTATTGCGTATAAAAGTGGATATTAAGGGAATTAAGTTCTTATAACCTCCGAGGGTGATTATTACCTAAATGCCCTCTCGTATTATGAGAAATATTGTATGAAACGTAACATTTATTACCACTAAAGCTCTGGTCTGTTTGGGTTTCATGTTTAATATGATCTTGGTGTAATTAGAAACGGTACTTTAGATTTTCAATGAGAAATATAATGTCAGTATATTTTTATATGATACTTATAGGTTCATATATTGGGTGCTATATACTATATATATATTGCTTTTTTTTTATCGCCTCGATGGGTGGACGAGCTCACAGCCTACTTGGTGTTAAGTGGTTACATTTACAACGCAAATGCGCCACCCACCTTGAGATATAATTTCTAAGGTCTCAGTATAGTTGCAACGGCTGCCCCACCCTTCAAGCCGAAACGCATTACTGCTTCACGGCAGAAATAGGTGGGGTGGTGGTACCTAACCATGCGGACTCACATGAGGTCCTACCACCAGTAAAGTAAATGGGTGGATGACCTCACAACCCAACTGGTGTTCGGTGATTACAGGAACCTATAAAAATCTATAATACAATGCTGAACCGTTCCACGTTGAGGCATAAGTTTTAAGGCCTTACTTTTAACAGTACAACGGCTGCCCCACCCTTCAAACAGAAACGCATTACTGCTTCACGGTAGAAATAGGCAGGGTGGTGGCATATGTGTACTATGAAATCTGATGCATTTATTTCACAAAAAATTTTGAAAGGCCGGAAAATAGTAAAGGAATTAAGGAATCTGTAATTTAAGAAAAACTGCAAAGTTACTCATGTGTTCGTAACTAGCCAGTTACAGCTTATAACTCAGCCCACTTATGTAACTTAGTTCCATTTTCTGTGCAGCTATTAACTGTCAGATAATAATCGCAAAATCAACTTAAAACAAATAATTATAGCATCCAAAAAACATTAGATCTCGCATAATAAATAATAAAACGTACAGAAACCAAAAGACATTACGTTTAATTCATTCAAATAAAAGTAGAAAAACCAATTTGTACCGGAAACAAAGCATTCTTAGTAGGTTTTTTTTTTTTTTATTAAGTCGTAAGAGAAAAAGTTTTTCCATTTGAGTCATTAAGTGGTCTTGCGGGAGAGCGGCTGGCATGCTGAGCTCTTTCGTGACACTTTCCGGATTATTTCTACTTATGGTTACAACGTTTCGCTTACAATGTTTCGTTAGAAATATATTTTATATTTTTAGACGCGATTTGTATTGTAAGCGGAACTAAAAATGAATAAAACCTTGGACAATATCGTGGAAATAGTTGTGAGAATTTCTTTAGTTCTTATTTTGGCCATTAATACTTATATTTATTATATTATGTACTTTATTAATAGCAAACCAGGATACGAACCGGACGGTAGTGTGTGGTCATAGCCGCTCATGATTTCGAGCACAGCCAAACTTATTGAAAACAACTCTGTTATTGTTTTGTTCAAAGCGTAGAAGGGATTATGTAAAATCATTTTCCCAATCATTTTTGTTAACTAAAAACGTGAAAATCCTGCATGAATATATATTTTAATGGATACAAAAACGATCAGAAAAAAGAGGGCATTTTAATGCACCCTGATAACGGATTAAAACAACCAACCATTATATTTTTGGATTTTCTGTTAAAGATTTATATATTTTTCATTAAACTAGCTAAATCCGATTACGCTATGCTATGGCTTTCTCTAATGTTAATAACATTATTGGTAGTAAGACGTCTTTCGCTTCTACCCGGGTAGGAGTTACCACCACTTAGCCTAATTCTGCCGTGAAGCCGTAATACGTTTCGGTTAGAAGGGCGGCTGTTGTACTATAACACTGAGACTTAGAACTCATATCTCATATTTCATAAGGATTTTACGTTGTTGATATCTGATAATCAACTAACAATGGTCCTAGTCTCATCCATCGATCTAAGCAATAAACAAAAACTCGAATACCTTTATTTTTCATCTGATACGCCAAAATTAAAACCCGTTTCAAAGTTAAAGTATAAAAAAACGAGACATTATCACGGATCTCTGAATGTCCGACTGTGATGTAACAAGAATTGTTCGTATCTCACAAAAATTATCGTTTGCAAAAGGAATCTGAACAATTCTAAATCATGTCCTCGACCGTAAAGAGTTATCAAGATTGAGGGCCAGAATTTTGCCCCCGCAAAAAGTTTGTTGCGGCAAAACTCGGCTCGTTAATGGTCCTTACGTTACAAGTGTTCACTTGTGCGAAATTCCTGTTTTTACCAGACTTACGCTTTTGAGGGTGCTTGTTAAGAATATGCGTTGTGTGCGCGCTACATATGTTATTTAAGGTTTGTACTTCGGTAACGGCTCATACATACACTCTCGGCTTTTGTGACTTGACAGCGTTGCTTTGTACCTCTGATCCAAACACAAGAGTGTAATTTATCTATATATATAAAAATGAATTGCTGTTGGTTAGTCTCGCTAACTCGAGAACGACTAGACCGATTTGGCTAATTTTGGTCTTGAATTAGTTGTGGAAGTCCAGAGAAGCTTTAAATATGAAAATGCTTGGAATTAAATAGAAATAACAATTTTGTTTTTCCTTTGATGTGTCCCCCGTCGGACGGATTCCTTTTGTTTGTATTATGTTTATTTTATACAAAAGTTTAGGTCTTTTGTTTATCGATTGAGGTACTACGAAGTCTGCCGGGTCAGCTAGTCTTCAATAAAAACCCAAACTCAACGCGGTGAAATTCCAATTTTTTTTTTCATAAATACTAAGTTCTTCTCAGTCGTATGCACTCTTGGTAGAGTGGTCGTGGTCATCATAGCGCTTCACCAGACGTGACCATTCCTTACGTACCACGGTCCTTCTTGCACTCGTTAAAGGGACCATATAGAGCTAACTAAATACTAAAGCGTAATTTTATTTCCTTAACATACCAAGAACTTTTTGGTGTAGTAACCAAATAAATTTCCCTGAAAGAGTTACTTCATCACACATTACAAGAACAATTAAACAGGTAATAAACATACCGTTTATGAAAGCGATCCGGGAATAAACTACTTGCCATCTTGGTCAGGATGGCAAGTAGTTGAAGGTTTTTCCTTCGTTCGCTTGAAGGTTTTTACAGTATAAATTCAAATTTGTATGGTTTATCGGTAATTTCTCAAATGATTTGTAAACTAGCCCACTTAGACGTACAAATGCCAATCAAGTTAAAACTACAAATAAGCAAGAAATTCACTTGGTCTTAATCGCCGCTAAAGTCCGGGAAA